TTTTGTGAATGTGTTATACTTGCGGAGGACACACGCATTGGTCATACCCCCAACAGACTCCCTGGATTTTTCTGCTGGCCACTCTCTTGCGGCTGACTGTACTCTTACTACATTTACAAACACATCTCTGCTTCATGTTTCCTTTTCATAAAAACACATGCAGTACAGAAGGAAGCGGGCTCAACAGGCTCATTTTTAAAAGTTAGGTAAATAGAAACCCCCTTGGTTCTTCTTCGGCCATGCTGGGGTGTGTCGGACGATTCCTGGCAAACTCTCTGCGCCAAGTTCAGTGGACGACTCCTAGCAAAGCCTTCACACCGGTTCACTTCCAGCGCGCCGTCCTTCCTTCAAAGCTCCGATGCAGGCCGTGCCAACGTGTGTCGGACGATTCCTGACAAACGCTCTGCACCGGTTTAGTCAGACGATTCCTAGCAAACCTCCGCTTCAGCTTCATGGGGACGACTCCTAACAAAGCCTCCGCACCGGTCACCTCCAGCCGGGCGGCGCTTTTCGAGGCTTCGATGGCGGTCATGCCAACGTGTATCGGGCATTCCTGACAAACGCTCTGCACCGGTTTAGTCAGACGATTCCTAGCAAACCTCCGTTCCTCATTCAGTCGTGCGACTTCTAGCAAAGCATCTGCATCGGTTCACCTCCAGCCGTCGCCGCTCCTTTGTCCGAAGCTCTAATGCCGGCCATGCCAACTTGAGTGGGACATACGGCAAGACATCCACAGCGGTTTAGGTGGACGACTCCTGGCAAACCTCCGACCCTGGTTCAGTCGGACTAGCAAAGCATCCGCATCAGTTCGCGCCGCTCCTCCGTCCGAAGCTTCAATGCGGTCGTGCCAATATGTGTCGCTCATTCCTGGCAAAACCTCTTTGCAAGTTTAGGCGATGACTCCAAGCAAAGCTTCCGCACCGATCACCTCCAGCCGGGCGCCGCTTCTCCCTCCGAGGCTCCGTACGAGATCTTGAGCGCACGAGATGTTTGATATTCCAGCAAACGCTCCCTACTGGCGACAATGACGACTGACCATAAGCATACGGCGAATCGCAGAATTTATACTGGACGGCGCCCGATGGCTCTCTTGAAGGAGTTGCTCGAAGTGTGACGACTCTGAAATGATGGATTTGATAAGACAGAATACAGCAGGCCTTATAGTTAACACAGCGTGTTCTAAAGAGTCTTCGCTGAAGTTTTAGTTTGCTTTTTAGGAAACTGAGAAGCAAAGGCTGTGCTTTTTTTGCGGACGATACGTAGATGCGAATACACTACAGCGAACATTTCGGAGGAAGCACTACAGTGCTGTACTGCTCTCATCCCTCATTTTGTCTAATAAAGTCGATCTCGATAAGGCTAGAAGATGTTATGAAGCTTTTGTAAGAGCGGAACGCCATATCTGTTTGCAACATATAGTTGACGCTGTAAGTACGCTAATATAAAACCTGAGTCTTTTTCAGCTTTCAATTTCATTCATGGATTACATGTTTTCAGGGTCAATTCATCGCCTCAGAGATGGGTTTAACTACTGGCTTTACAACCTACTTGAATGAACCTCTGGTGTCGTATGTTGGGACGGACATCCCTTTTCATCTAATTGATAAGCTTGATAAAAATGCAAAGAACTTTGATGTTAGTTTCTCCATATTCTGAGTTT